ATATCATCGCATGCATTTCTGCTGAGGAGTATGTGAATCAGTCAGTCATCAATCAGTCGGTGGGTACTGAGTATCTTCCCATGTCTGGGCCCTTACGGTTACCCTGGAAATTAAGTAGAATAGGCCAGAATGGTCCAGTTATTGACCATTTAGTTGGAAGATTAAACTGACACGTTTGGCAATATTCTGTAGAGGGGAAGTTTGACCTGAGCCTTGAAAAATTGGTAAAATTTAAGGGAAGAAAGATCAGTTGTAAGGAAGGGAAACAATTGGATTTAATAATAAGAGAGAGAGAAAATATCTAGGCATAATAAGAAATTCCAGCAATGACTATTACTGGCCAGTGGTGAGAAATAATTGGATGGGCAGGAAAAAAAACAAGCAGTGGAAAAGTTTTAGCCCCAGGTGTTGACGTTTACCTTGATTTTGGGAAACACCAGAGAGTTGATAAGATTTTTTCTCGCTGTAAGAATGATGTGAGAAACGGCAGACTAGGGGGTAAGTTAGAAGCAGGAAAGAGGCTCTGCGACTTCTCGAGATCTAGTTGAGTACACATCTGGCGGTCGTAAGAGAGATGGAGATGCCTGAGACGTCCCGAAGGAGGGTTTCGTGGGGCTGGATGACTAGGCTGGTCGGCGGTTATACAGAAATCTGTTTTGAGGAAAAATAAAATGTAGCTGTGATTTTGAGCTTCTGGCCTTTCTGTTCCTTCTCTTCTCTACAGATACCATTTCTTCTGCTTTCTCATATCTTTCTTGCTCAGGGAAACCTTCATAAATATTTGGCAAAGAAAAACCAACAAATGAATCGAGGAAATGACTTTCAAATATACACCCCTGCCCAAAATACCACAGCACAGCGCAAGAGAGCATCTTGCTTCCCCCTCCCCACTTTCCTTTATTTAAACGGTTTCTCCGCCATTAATACTCTCTCCTACCTACCTCCTTACTAAACCTACTCCTTTATTTTACTTATTTTTTAACTCATTCTTTAAATCTCATAAAAAATGCTACTTCAATTCTTGACTCATTCTAGCAAAAGGTATTTGTAACCACCGGCCTCAGCCTACCTTAGGTTTCATTTTTGTACATTGTTTCATTGGGCACTTAGTGGTTGCCTCTTGGAGGACAGGAGCTGTTTACACCTCTGATATTCCGTGTTCAGGTCAGTGTTCTGCAGCGCGCAGGTGATGTACAATTCGCCATTAAGCGACCCTGAATTATTTGGTGATACCGCTCTGGTGTAGGCACTTGGCATTTCTCATCTGGGCTCTTTCTGCATCTCTAGCTCCTATCTCCGTCTCTACTTCATTCTTCATATTGCTGCCCACGTCGTTTTTGTGCATTTTAGTTGAGGCTGGTATCCCATTACCGCAGAATGAAATCCCAGCCGTCGGTATCCAAGGCCGTCTGTCACCCGAGCCCGGCCTGCACCCATCCTGGGTCCCGTTCTCCACATGCTGGGTGGTTTGGTTGTGCTGGATCATGGGCCCTAAATGGTTAACACCAGGCCTTTGTTTAATGCCATTGCCTTAGGCCAGAGCCACCTTCTTACCACTGCTGGTGGTTCCTCCTTTATTCCTTCAGGTCCCTGGAGAAGCCCTTTTGAGTGGCTGTCTCCTGAGGCATCTCTGAGCTGCTCCTCAGCGAGGTTGCTGAAAATTAGATAAACATCATCTCCTTGCCATTGGCAAAAACATAGAAAGTGGTTTTCTAAAGCATCTAATTCAGACCCCGGGGAATCTCCGCACGTGTAGAAGTTCCCCATTTCATGGTGGCAACAGTCTCTGTAAAGTCAGACTAATTCCTTCTTTGCCTGGAATTTTGGGCTAACGTAGGAAAACAGTTAGAACTGGGAGAGCGCCTGGCACGGGCCGAGCACTTCCTAGACTGTGCCCTGTCCAGACGCACAGTGGTCCCAGCAGAACATCCCCCGGGCGACGGACAAATTCTCTTCACTCTCCACCCCCACGGGNAACTGGGAGAGCACCTGGCACGGGCCGAGCACTTCCTAGACTGTGCCCTGTCCAGACGCACAGTGGTCCCAGCAGAACATCCCCCGGGCGACGGACAAATTCTCTTCACTCTCCACCCCCACGGGGTGGGAATCATCGAACATTGTGGTAAACCCGCGAACCAGCCAACCCTCTGTCTGCCAAAGACCTGCTTCCTGTGAAATTTTGGGCGATCACGTTAAGCCATCCACTGAAGCTCATATATTGCTTCCCTGTGCTCACATGTGACAGATGATGGACAATCTCTTCTCTCTCTTTATTTCTCCCCAGTGGGACCAGCTGTAATGACTATATTTTGAAATTCTCCTGGGCTTAAAATATACGAAAAAGGAAATATCATCGAATGAACAGGGTTTGGATCCTCTGAGAAACGGAACATCAAGTAACGTTTATTTGTGGAGGTATGCGGTTTCTAATCTTAAATCTATTTCAGTTTGTTCCACTAGAGAACACTGGGAAATACACTACCTGAATCCAGCCTGTCGTTCAGCAGCCCTGAAGACGGGAAAACTCTGTGTGTGTTTTTTTATGACCGTAATCTGGCCTCTCCTTCTATTAAAGGTCAAAAGTTAGTAGAGAAGGTGCCTTGTGAGAGGTATTTTATTTTTTCTGCCAAAGGCAAAAGATATTATCAGACATTGGAGCCAATGTTTTTTTTTTTTTTTTTAAAACATAAACCCTGTCCCTGTTGCCTCTGTGTGTTGGTAGATACTTCTTGTCTCACCAAGATTTATTCACCAGACCTTTGCCTACTTCATGCACCTGTTCAACAGTTATTGGTGCAGCTCCCCCTGTGTGCCAGGCACAGTGCTGGGCGTTGGAGTTCAGCTGCATTGAGCAGAAAACGACAGTCTTCAGGGAGTGGCATCAGCAGTCCAGCAGGGAAGACCTAGGATTATCAAATAACCCTACAAATCAACAAGAACTCTGTCAAATGTTCTCGGAGAACCCGGTGCTGTGAGAGTGTCTCCAGCGGGATCTGACCTAGGTGAGGAGGTCAGGGAAGGCTTCCTGGAGGAAGTGACAGTCCCCTTGATTTGTGAATGACGGGTAGGAACTAAAGTGGATTCCACGCCCAGGGACGGTGGCGTGCAAAGGCCCTGTGAAGCCGGTCGGCATGGCACCTGCAAGGGCATGGAAGTAGGCCAGTGTGGCTGGCAGGCAGAGCTGGGGACGAGGCTGGAACGGAAGGAGGGGTCAGGCCACACAGGTGTTAGACCCTGATAGGGATAGTGCCTCGGTCCTGACTATTTGGGAAACCTGTCAAGGGTTTATAAGCAACAGGAGGCAAGAGCAGCTTTATGTCTTGAAAGGATCCCTAGAATTAAAAAGCATAAAACGTATTGGGGGACGGGAGATGAGCTGAGGGCAGCGGTCATCCAGGCATCAGATGACAGTCTCTGTGGTCAGGGTGGCCACAGGAAGCAGGCTGGAGATGGCAAGTAGAAGACACAGGACTTGGGGACAGCTCGGATATATGGCGTGACTCCTGGGTTTTCTGTTGGCCAGAACCTTTCCAAATTAAGGCTTGTGCAGACCTGACATACTTATTCTCCAAAGAAATGTCCCTCTCAGTGACCCTTCCACTCTTCATGGAGCACCTGCCATATATTATCCTGGCTGCTGGTGACCCAGGCATGAGCAAGGTGATGTGTCAGGGAGCTTGTGCCTGTTGGTGCCAGAAAGCCTGATCCAGGTGAAATGAGTGCAAGCGCAGCTCACACGGGTCGGCAGGACGAGCCCTGGCCGGCGTGGCTCGGCGGGGGGGGTGTTGTCCTTGCGCCGACAGGTTGCCAGTTCGATTCCCAGTCGGCACGTGTCTGGGCTGAGGGCTCGATCCTGGGCAGGGGGCCTGCAGGAGGCAGCTGATCGATGTTTCACTCTCACATCCATGTTTCTCTCTCTCCCTTCCTCTCCCTCTCAAAACCAATTAAAACAACAAAAACAAACTGCGAGCTTTGTGGGGAAGAGTAAGCATGTCTAAAAAGAATTTAAAGGACAAGACGTCAGTTTTTCTTCTGGAAAATCAGACTTTTTTTAAAAGTGCTTTACAATTTCTAAAGCTCCTTACTCTCTCCCAGGGACTGTCGCCTGAGGAGCCAGGGAAGGCGAAGACCCCCAGGGTCCCAAAGCTCAGGCGTCATTACTGGGGCTTAGGTTTCCGAATCCAAGATGAGGGCTCCCCTTCTCCCCCACCCCTTTTTTATTTTTGCCTTGCTTCCCCACCTTTTATTTTTAAAATGAGAACCATAATCAAGGAGACTAAACAGCAGCCCGCTGGAGTATTCCTTTTCTAAATGGCCAGTTAGAAAAGATACGAGGCCTCCCTCCCCCAGCTGGGAAAAAAGCACGTGTTCAGATTAAGTCTAAAAACAACAGTGCGCTGCGTCTGCCTTCCTTAGCTAAAGCACCGCCACCTGATTCTTTCTGGGCTAAAGGAAGGTGGGGCAATCAGGAAAATTCCGATTTTGTGTTGACCATCAAGGAGGTGAACTACTTCAGGTGTGTATTTCGGAAGCTCAGGCCAGTGCTGGGGGAGGGGGGGTGGAGGGAGGGAGACTTGGAACCAAGGGAGATAACTTAGCTTTTTTCATTGGAGAAGCTTAGTTACCATGACTAGTTTTGGCCCTTTGTCTCCGTGACACTATTTTGGTTCTCTCATTTAGCTGGTCTTCAATAGAAACACACAAAGGGCTTTGAGTCCATGCTCTCTTGTTTTCATTAATAACAAGCTTGTTAATAACAAGCTTGACTTTTACGAGATTGTATCAGAAAGCTCGATCCCAGGGTGGCTCTGAGGACGTGATCATAGCTCCCCTGACTTACAAAAGCATTGTAGAGATGGGACTGTGTTTTTCCTGCAGCTTTTCTGAGTAACATCAACTATGATGTTGCCAGAGAGGAGATGTGTGCCCTTGAATCTGCCATATAGTTTGTTACCAAACAAACAAACAAAGCCACCCGCATCTGGACCCAATAGTCAACATTATTTATCAAAATAAATTTATTAAAAGTACGCAAAGACCACTTCAGAGTTTAGCTGCCTTCGGGACAGTTTTTGGCACTCACAGTTGACACTATTTTCTATACAACAGCACTCATTCTGTGACACACCGTCGGACAGTAAGAACACAGAGCACTTCAGTTCTAGTGTTATGAGACATAAGAACTTGGATATGCTTGCGCATAGTAAACATGTTAACATTAACTCAGCACTAAAACAAACTAAAACTACAGCCACTAATGTGGTAACACGGACTGATTTCAGGAAAGATGTACAGCCAGCTAGCTAAGGCCACATGATCCCACACCTGTAGATTTTAAAAATGCTTTTGGACCCATAGCTTCCCCATCGTATCTTTCAGTCTCAGGTTCCTGCTTTTCCAGGGGGGACACACCCCAGTCTGACTGCTCTCTCTCTCTCTCTTTTCTGTACAGTCGTGGAGGCCGTTGAGGTACAAAACCCTCCTAGTCGGCCGCCAGCTTCCCAGCTCACCACCCAACTCTGAATCAACAGTTCCGAGCGAGGTCTCCCGTACACCCAGGCTGAAGCTGAATTCAAGGTCAGTCTTTCGGGGCAGGTCGCAGCCTTCCCCTTAGGAACAAAATGAAAAAGTCCTCCGCGTCTGGGTTCCTGTTCTCATCTCATGTAGCGTGGGCCTCTGTGGTGATCTGCGGCTTTTTACACAAATCCTGGTAGAATTCTGACTCCAGGAAACGGGGGTAGGAGTTGTTTTCCATCAGGCTGTACACCCTTTTCTGGGCTGTCGTAAAGCAGCCACTTGTAGCATCTTGGATGTTTTGGGCAATTAGAGTTTTGGTTTGAAAGTCTATGTTTATCTGAAATAAAACAACAAAACAAGTGGTTTATTCCATATTCAGAGTTCGAGATTTAAATCTATTTAATATTTGAAAACAGAGACCAAAAACGGTAATGTGTGGTTAGCTTTACCAGCCAAATGGCTGAAGAAACATAACTGAAAGCTCGGGTTAGAGAAAAAAACATTACCACCCCTTTCTACTTTTCAATTCTTTTGTTTCATTTTGGTGCTAAGAATGTCCAAAATAGGCTAAAATGAGAACCTTTTTTTTTTTTCCCTTACCTCTTTCGGGGCTTCTTTTTCTATGAAGTCAGTATATATTTTCTTTGCCTTTGAGGACAGCTTTTGGGGTGACTTGGTTTTCTTGAAGTCTTCACAGGCCAGCCAGAATTCAATATTTTCTTCACAGAATTCAGATTTTAAAAAAGCCCTGAATGCAGCAAGACCATCTGAAGGGAAAACACACAGAACGTAAACTTGAGTGACCAAATAATCCCTTATGTTTTTTCCTAGGACTCTCACTCCCCTGCACCCATGTTTTATTATTTCTAGATTAAAGCAACATCGTAGATTTCACTCAAACTTGTAATCCTCAGAATTTAGCTCTTTAAAGACTAAGATGCCAGTAGGCAAGATGCTTAAGTTGGCACAGTGCTACAAAGATATAAATACTTAGCTTTGCTGTCAATGCCAATATTTATAGGGAGCCCTAAACTCTCTGGGAACCAAGTCTCCTGAAACATGGTATGCAATGGAAAAGCTGAGTCAACCTTAACCAAGAGCAACTGCCGCTATACATTTTTTAGGTTAATTTTCATTCCCACCTGGAATGAATAAACCATGCATTTCCCTGATTAAACACTGGGAAGTGAAGGAAAAATAAGGCCTTATGCTACAGTGACTGTAACGTCGGATTGCTTCAGGCAAGCTGCTCTTTTGTGTGGACACAACCTCTGTACCCTCTTGGGATGCTTGACATGGATTAAATTCAAGAGGTTCACTTACATTTACTGGCTAGCAGCTCGTCGAAGGCTTCTGACCACAGCTGTGCTTCCTCGGGAGAAGGCCTGCGGGAGAAGTTGTGCACGTTAGCTTGGGAAACGCAGCTCCCCTTCCAGCTCAGCAGCTAGCTAGCTAGTCGTGCTCGCAAGAACAAGATTTTCAGCTCACCTGAGGAAGGTTTGCTGTTTGTTCTTCTTGCTGGTTTTGGGCTTCTCAGGAGAGGAAGAATGTTGCAAGAAGTAACTCAAACGGGTCTTCCAATCTTTCAGTCTAAAAAGAAAAGAGAAGAAAAAAAAAGATTCATTAAAGTGGCAACAGTTGAAATTGCTACTGTAGCTGATGGCATTTTACCAAAGTCTCCCAGGAAATAAAGACAAACCAGAGAAGACAAAACAAGAACTCTCTAAGATTCTTACTCGTTTAGTCCCTGCTCTTATGTACTGAACAGTTAGTTTCTTCCCTTCATCTGAACATAACTACTAGTTTTATATCTTAAGGGACGGACTACCTAACGTATTAGGATTCTTTAATAAATTTAGTTTGCATCGTTGAAAAAGGCAGATGGTATTCCTTGCCCGAAAAAGGCAGCCGTTTTTCTGCAACGTTCATTACAATCCCGAGACATTTCACACTCGAAATGCCAGGGGAACTGGCTCCAGCCGAGATGCCGGCGGCCCTTCTGCCCTGAGGACGCGGCTCCGGCCCCGCGGGAGCTGAGCGCGGTGAAGGGTGAGACTGACCCACGCACCCCCCATACAACCGTCATTGTAAGCAGATGATCAACTAAATTACAAAATTAAAAACGGGAAGAAAAAAACCCCACAAAAAAAAGTGGGTTTAAGACCAGTAATGTTCAGAATCAGCAAAGCGTATCTCCATCCCTGCAGCCGCGCGAGCTGATCAAAAGAGCCACGTACTTAACAAGGGGACGCGCGGAGACGCGGGGGGAACAAAAAGCGAGCCCGCAGTTTCTCACCCGCCGCCTGGGACCGAGAGTTCTCAGTTCAATCGACC